GTCCTCTGATGCTGCTTGGCCTGCGGTGTTCATCCAGCTCTACACCTTGTTATCTCAGATCCTCCAGCATCTGCAGTTCCTACTATCTCTGGTAAATATGTGGAATGTGCTTGCCTTGAAATACAGATTGTATGTTATTACCGAAAGGACCGTTGCAGTTGTTTGTTGATGTGGCAACTAAGGGTTTTTTTTGAGCAAGCAGAAGGGTAACTCACATTGACCTTTCATGTTATAGTCTTCAAAGTTACTGCTCGAGCCAAATTGGAATTAACATGTTATAGAGATTATTAATAAACATTCTCACTAAAGACTTAAAGAAGAACTCATTTTGCCTAATATAAATATTAATATAAACATTAATACATTCCATGAATACTGCCGACTGCTTCTCTGTGAATATGTATAACTATTATGTTGTCTTAGAGCAATAAGATTCTTAAGGTACTTGTGCTCTTCTAAAAATGTTCTCCTCAGTCAATGGATTTCTTTTTCCACTGTTATTACCATGAGGTACTTACACAGTGTTCTCCACTGCTGATCACGTATTGTTTTTATGATGTGGTATGTGGTTGGGTTAGCATGTTGCCACAAATCCTCCTTCCTGTGCTAAGTCTAAGGGTCTATCTAATTAACAATAGTATCAGTTAGACTTACCAGTCAGATGTAGTTACAAAGACTGTCAGGAGCCAGAGATGATGCATCTGTCAGCATTGGAACCTTGTGCTTGAATGCTTCTTCTCCACTCAAATGCAATCTTAAACATTGTCTGTTTAGAACCTTTACTGTATGCGATGGTCATTAGCTAAGGTTAATATCCCCGTTTCCACAACACAGAGATAATCTCAAGAAGGCCGAGGGGGAAAATAGAAAGAAGAGGCCAGCGTGGAAATGGGGATGATCACAATGTAAGAAATTATCAGGACATATAAGATCTTTCCACAGAATTAATACAGCACAAATGAAGGCCACTCAGCCCATCATGCCTGCACAGGCTCTTCAAAAAAAAGTGTCAATCTCCTTGCACATTGTTTCTATCCAAATAATCATCCAGTGCCCTCTTGAATACTTCAGTTGAACTTGCCTCCACCATCACTCCAGGCCCTAATGACTTGCTGTATTATAAACTTTTATTTCACATCACCCTGCTTTTTGCTTGCCGTTAGTATTTTGTGGAGTACAAGCCGATGATCCCATTCTAACAAGAATTAAGCCACTCTGTCGACAACCTGTTATTTAGGATGGACCACATGGACGGAAATTTGATTGACCCAACATTAATGAACATCTAGTTCCAACAGAATCCTCAGTTGGTTCTAAACAGACAATCAATGCCTCACCTTAATAGGGAAACAAGGACTTCTTTGCACGCAAGACCTTTCACAGTTGATGTTGTTACTAGACATTTCAAGATTCTGAGATGGGCGGATTAAACTCATGTCATGTGTCATCCACTGCCCCCACTCCATATAGAGCTGAGTCCATTCAGAATCTTCAATTATATCTTTAATACTTGTTTTCAGAATTTTATTGGAAACCTCTCGGGCCTGCAAAACAAAAGGAGAATAACAGCTAACTTTTAGTATTCCTGGGTCCACTTTACGTATTTTCAATAGGTTCACTTTGCGAATCACAGGACTTGAGTAGAACCTTATCAACTACATTTGTCTTTGGCCGTTTCCAGCAATACATTGCAGATCATTATGAACAAAACAGAAATCCATTAGCAATGGACTGTATAGTAAAAGGTCTTTTATTGTTTTTCAGTACTATATTGTGTTTCCCTTTTCATTCACTGACTTTGTCCCGATTTCTCTAACATTCAAATGCTTTAGGAGTTAGTTTTGAAATGCAACTCCCTTATATCTCACACCACTGCCCCATCTCCCGCAGCACAATATCCAAAGCTGGAACTGTCCCAGATATTTCCATATTTTAAAATTCCAAATTATAGCTACAGTTTTGCTATGTTTGCTGCCAGTTACTTATACCCATTTATGATGTTGTTGTGACCAGTTGAGAAGGGAGAACCACGTCCTCTCTTAGAGACTTTTACCACAAGCTGTCCCAAAGTCTACAAATCATTTCCAGTTCACAATTTCAAGTTCACAACTCCAAAACAAATTTGATAAAAGAATAAAAATTCAAAATATTGAAAATTCAGCGAGGGTTCTAACAAAAGCAGAGAGCGATTTTATTATCTAAAAACCTTGAGAAAAATAATAAAAAAGCAGCATCAAGCATACACGCAAACACAGGTATTAAGTTCTGAAGAATGGTCACCAGACCTGAAATATTAACTCTGCTTTTTCTCCACAGATGCTACCAGACATACTGAGTCTTTTTCCACGATTTCTGTTTTTGTTAAAAGAGAGAGTCTGGGCCAGACAGGGAGAAATAATGCTACAAAGCTTAGATGTCCTTAGAGTCTTTGTGGTGTTAGATTTTAAAGCTGAGATTTACAGTTTTCCTAAGTTGCTCTTCCCAGGGCACTGTTTTTTTCTGAGATGATGAGAGATACAGGAATTGTGAGAGAGCCTTGCTGGATTTGCTTTATGATTCTGTCAGGGTGACCTGTACCTGGCTATGTAAGGTGGCTTGTACCTGAACACATTAAGCAGCCCATGCCTGCTGACAAGATGGCAGACAGAAGCTAAGCAGATCTAAGCAGTCTGCTCCCACAGAGAAATACAATGGTACCTTTGAACAGAACTGCTAGAAGGTCAGTAAAGGAATGCTGTATGTTTCCATCTGAGACAGTTCTGATAAAAGGATGCCTCAGAACAGATATATGACCAATTCTACCTTTATTAATGAAAAGGTGATTGTCCCAGTAAATGAATAACTTCAGGTGCTAGATTAGGTCTGAAGCAGCTGCACGATAACAGCTAAAGTTATTTTGTAGTAAATAGTTGCCTCTTTGAAGCTACCAGCCATATTAAATAGTTTCTAGCTTAAAATGCTCTAATCATAGAAGTTGGTTTCAATACACAACCAGAATATAATACAAGCCTCAAAAAAAACATTTAAGCTTAGATGGAAAGATTTACTAGCCTTAGAAGACGCCTTCTCTTGTGCCCTGGACAACATAGATTGATCACAATCCATAAGTTACAAAATGCTGACGGTAGAAGTTCTAGTATAACATTACACTTATAATTAACTTTATAACAAAAGTTAACCTTATAGCAATTAATTAAAACTAACTGACTTTTTATTTTTATATTATGTAATTGGGGTAGTGGGAAAATAAAAGGAGTAACTGAATGTGATAAAAGACAGCACCAAAACACAATGGGTAATAGAGTTTGAGCTGTCCTTACAGATAAACAAGGCTGAGAAAGTCCCGAAGGAGTATAGCCATTAAACATTTGAAATGCAAATGAATAGGTGCACAGGAAGATTACAATGTCTGGCATAGTCTGTAATTGCAATATCACAAGTTTATACTGACAGCTTATTTTGTAATTGCAGGTGTTGCACCTGGTTCCTCTCTCCATGAAGATAAATTATTGACCCAACCTCGGAAATTAATCAATTAGCATTATTGAATTTAAAAGCAGCTTCTGTTTCCAGACATCTGTTGTAATGTTACACAGTTCATAAAGTGCATATTTCCTCTATTGATAGAATCAAACTTTATGTCTATTGATATGACAATGTTAACAAATAGATACCTGACTGCCATCACTTTTTCTCTTCCACCTATTTAAAAAAAAATATTTGGAGGCTTCTGTGCAACATTGGCCTTAGACAGGGAGCAAGCTTAATGTCAAAACTGCCCCTGTTTGAGAAACAGCCAAACAGACATGTCATGTTTCAACCATCTTCAGTCTGGCTGCTTTTCCTTAGCCCCTTCTTGTAGCCCCAAATATGTAGATAATCCATTCAAAGGAACGTGGTTATGACCAATCATTGTAATGTCACAAGTTCCTCAGATCAGTGACCTTGACTCAATTATTTTCAGTTGCTTCATGACCTCTTCTCACACCAGGAATAGGGGATATATGCCGCTGAGTCCATAGCTTAAAACTTAATTGTCAACTCCTTTGACAATGAGTCAGTCTGTACTGATCTACAGACAGAATCCAGGCTAAGGCTGACCAATAGCAGTAAGTAACAATAGGTACTCCAAAGTGCTAGAATAGCAAATATTACCCAACACATTCACTGACACTCCAATGTCCCCAAATTCTTTCCATCAACATTTTGGAAAGTGCCATTGATCAGAAGCCTGGTTGATCCAAACATATCAACACTAACACAAGAGCCGAGATGGGTACAGCAGAACACTGCTCAAAAAGCTAATACAATTCAGGACAAAACAACCCATTCAACTGACATGTAAAACATGAGTCCAGATAGCCAACCCTTCCATTATTGGACACTTTATCAATAGCTGTAGTATGTGAAGTTTATAGCGCTGCAGAAACTCACCAAGCTTATCTTGCATAACCTCTCTATCAAGAAGGACAAAAAGAAGCATGTCATGAAAACAGTATCATTTACAAATTCTCTTAAAAAACTCACATACATTTCTGATTTAGAAAGACTAATTATTCTTTCACTGCCATTTGACAGCACCATAAAAATTCTTACCAAACATTGCTCTGGAGCACCAGTAACACAATGGTTCAATGTAATGCAATGTTTCCGGAAAGGAGACTAGCTCCACCTTCTCAGTGCTAAGCAATAAACCCAGCTTTACCAACATCCTTGCTGAGAACAAACTGAAAAAGAATGGTCAAGGAAGTGTGCTCTATTTGACACTGAAAGCATCATCCCAGAATAAAACAGCGATCTGAAATTGATGATGGATGATCATGTGTCTCCACACTGTGTACATTACTTGTAGGGTTTGAGAACAAACCCACTCTGGAGAAGAAGTGTACACCATGCATTGTATTGTAGGGTGAATGGTTCAAGTGTGAGTGTAACAACTTGCAGCTTGTAACAAATTGCAACAAAAGCCCTCACATAGCTTTGCAGATATTTCTTCACATGCAATGTTTCCTTATTTTTCAGTCAAGCATCTCTGAGATGAAACGTACAATTGAAACCCTATTCACTCTCATACCTTCCTGGCTGTTCCATTATAAATCATTCTAAGGCAACTCATATGTGTGATGTAAATCTATTTGCTCCTTCCAGGATTGATATGCAGCTTATAGATAGAGCCATTTAGTTTGTGGCACAAAAGAAAGTTATTTAGTCCCAAGTGTTGTTAGATCATTCCCAAAGTAAATACCATTGTCTGATTCTCTAAACACAGACTGGTTTCCCCCATGTTTTTTTTTAAAAAGTGTTTATTCTGTTTTCTTAAAATAATTAGTGGTCTCACCTTCAATCACTCCCTTTTTATGTAAAGATATGTTAACTGCTCTCTTTACTCATACAGACATTAATTTGATACATCTCATTGCATATTCCCAAAGTGAAGAAATAACATTTCCCCAGTTGTAATTGTAGATGAACTTCTTCAAAGTCTAACATTTTAAAATTACTTTAAATTAGCGTTATAAGACACTACCTTGAAGGTGTCTAATTATGTGTACAGCATCCAACTAGCTCACATCTCCCAAGAACTATTTCTTCACTTCTTAAATATTTTTGCAACATAGTGGATGCATGCAATCTCTTAGACCCCGGTAGAGTTTCTGTTTCCTGCAGGATCACTCCATTAATCATGTGATATTGATAGCATCATTTTATTACATTAGAGACCATGTCATTATACATTCTGCTGATGTCTCATTATTCTACAGCTGAATGTACAATCACCACATGTTGGAAAAGACACATGCTTAATTGTTCTATGATTTCATCTACTTTGTGAATAGGGAAGAGAGGGATGGGGTCAACACAATCTGCCTCAGCCATACTCAGAGTGGTAATCAATACAAACATTGGGGATCTCGTCTGTTGACTGCAGAGCCAGTCTGGGTCTTGCTTTGCTTCCATTTTGACATGGCTGACTGATGAAGTAATTAGCCATTTATGTGAACAGATGTGGGATCAAGGATCCTGGGGGCAGAAATTACATTACTCCTCTCCACCAAGCGCTGATAGCTAATCAAGGACCATGACTGTCCATTGTAAGCAGTATCAGTAGGAACAGTATCATGTACTAGCAGTGCACCCAGTAGAGACCCTGGACTGCCAAGAGACACCAGTTCATAGGGGACTGAAGGCTGGGTGTTGTGGAATGGCGAGGGGGAGTTGCAAAGTGGAGATCAGAGGGAAAGGGAAGGGTGGGACATGGCAGGCAGCATCAAGGGCAAGTGGACAGCTCTCAGTGGACACTTCATCCCCTTCTCAAAATCACGTACTGAGTACCCTTTCACAAGGGTCGCAGCCTGGGTGTCCACAAGGGCTCCTGCCTGGAGTGTACCCCGTGCGCTGCTGGTTGAGTGCCAGTGATAACAAGCTGATGCTCTTAAGCGAGCTATCTTTGCCAATTGAGACCATTGTAAATTACACTGGGGCTAAATGGCAGGTGGTTGCAAAGACAAAATCTTAAACTAAACTGAAACACGAGAGAAACGACGCACTGAACATTGAGTGCTTGTTTCCAATGCTTCGCTGCCCTTGAACTGAGTGGCTTGGCTATTTCAGAGAGTGGTTAAGAGTCAAACATAATGTGTGTTTCTGGAGTCTCACATTGGTCAAATCAAGTAGAGCAGATTTTCATTCCTCAAGGACGTTAGTGAACCAGATAGATTTGTGCAATGATCAGTGATAGTTATCATGGTCAGCATTACTGAGACTTGATTTATAATCCACATTAATTAATTGAATTTTCATTCTACCAACTGTCATGAGCCCATATCCATTGAGTCGGGGCCTCTGATTAATAATCCAATAACATTAGCACTATGCTACTCCATACTTCTGGATTGATACCATCACCTTCTCTGATTTCCATCCTTCCTGGTAGACAGCACAATGGGCCTTTAGAAAATTTCTGAACGAAAACGTTATCACACCTAAATAATAATCTTTAATAACAATAATTAGCCATATTGATGTTGGTATTGAATTCTCTCTGATTTGGAAGAAACAATGATAATTACCAGTGGTAGGGGAAATCCTGAATACAGCTTCCCTTCTATCCAGCCTTTTGGAACTGAAAATCCATCCTCATATTGAGCAGGAAGCCAACGGGCATAAGGATTATTAGCTGCCCCCAGATTTGGAGCCCTCCTGGAAAGAGCAGAAACAAGAAAGTATTGTGAAGTTCTCGGGACAGAAAGAGCCAAAGAAACCTAGAATTTTTAATTGCACGTGCAAACAATGGCTTCCTTTTGTCTCTTATTGCAGACTCCCTCAACTGGTACAATTGCATAATAGCTTCAGGTGAATAATATGTACTCTTTTTGTCTCTTTAACTCTATCTTTTCTTCTAAGATATTCCTTGATACCAATTTCTTTGGCCAAGCCATTGATCATTTTTTCTATGTCGCCGTATGTGGCTTGGTGTCAAACTTCGTTTGATAACATGATTGTGAAGAACATTGGAACATTTTATTCTATTGAGGGACTATATAAGTTTAAGCAGTTGTTTAGTGCAGTTTTGCTGTTGCTGTTACTATTAGATACAGTGCTAAGAGATTGTATTGTATATCCGTTAAATTATTCATGGTGTTTTTAGGAATTATGACACTTGGCTCAGTTTACTTATGCAGCCCATACACAGTAATTAACAATAATTCACCTGTTCTTGTTTCTTTTCCATAATATAAGCTATTTTGAACCATAAGTGAGTAATACTTCAGTTCAGGTACCTGTTGTTGCAGTTGGAATTGATGGATCTATAACGGTTGGACCAGCAGTCTTTCTTACAGACAGAGGATTGGACAACTGGTGAATGCTCTGTGTTATGCATCACATCACCAACGTCAGTCAAGGTTAAAAGATCTACAGAAAAAAAATCATTAACTGGTGATAATTGAAGGTAGATTGAAATTTTATATGCATTACATTGGGAATTTAATAATGAGACAAATAATGGATTTTTGTTTAATGCAAGTTTTAATCCTGATTATCAAGGGATCTATTATTGAACTCATTCAGTGAATTAACCGTAGAAAGTTTTCCCTGGAAAGGAGCTTTTAAATTGATCCAAGGATTACGGAGGTTAAATTGTTTGTTGGTCATCGTAGCAACTAGATGTGGCTGGATGCAACTATAAGCTGTTTTGTACCACTTGTGGGTTGAGGGCACCGCTGGCTGGGCCAGCATTTATTTTCTATTCCCAGTCAGCCTTGAGAAGCTGGTGGTGAGCTGTTTTCTTGAACCACAGCAAGCCATTTTGTATAGGTAGATCCATAATGCTATTTAGATAGGAATTCCAGGATGTTGTCAGCAACACTGAAGAAATGGCAATATATTTCCAAGTCAAGATGGTGAGTGTTTCAGAGGGAAATTTCGGATGGTGCTGTTTTCATGTATCTGCTGCCCTTGTCCATCCTCATTGAAATGTGCTGTCTCAGGAGCTTTGGTGAATTTCTGCTGTGCATTATTTCTGTACTTCAATCACCAATTTTCCTTTATACTGAAATTCATCCTTTCTCAGGCTCACTTTAAAATTTGTTGCCTAATCTGTGAAATCTAAACTTTTAAGACCCTACGTTACCCACCTCCTGTTCTTGAATTAACTATGGTGTTATCCTTTCCATCACTGGTAACATTGTGTACAATTTTGGTTACCTTACTAGAGAAGGGGACACACATGTATTGGAAGAAGTTCAGAGAAGTTTTGATAGGGATGATGGGTTTATCTTATGATGAAACTTTGTGCAGGTTGGACCGAATCACATCAAAGAATGAGAGGTGATCTCATTGAAACATATAAAATTCTGATGGGGATTGACAGAGTGGACATTGAGCAAGCATTTCCCATAGTGGGAGAATCTTAACTAGGGAACATAGTTTAAAATAAAGGTCATTTGAGGTGAAGGTGAGAAGGAATTTCCTTCTCTTGGAGGGAGGTTAGTCTTTGGAACTGCCTATCCTGTGAAGCAGGCTGGGCCACTGAATATTTTGAAGGCTGAGTTAGATAGGTAATTGATCAATAAGAGAGTCAAGGGAGGCAGGTATGAAAATGGAGTCTAGGCCATGTTCAGATTAACTTTGATCTTAACAAATGACAAAGTAGGCTTGAGCGGACTTCTCCTATTTGTCATGTCCTATGATTTCAATTTGAGCATAATAAAAATGTTAGCAGAGCCTGGGATGGAGAAAGCTGGGTTTTTCATGTGTTTTGATACTTTAAAAATAATGGAGAAATGGGGTATACTTTTTTGACCATAAAAACCTGTCACTATTTCGTTAGCTGACATGAATAAACCCTCAAGACACCTACCATCTATAACTTATCATTTTTGAATTTGAGTATTTGTTTGTGGTTGAAGTCAATTCTGAACTGACCTGATATATTGAATGACCACTGGTGGTTCAAGAGTACATAGTGTTGGATGATTCTTAAGGCAGTCTCCACTGAGTCAGAAGCTTGCTGTCTCTTGGTTGATGATCTAAACTGCTTGAAGAAGTTTAGGAGGTCAAGAGGTACTTGTGATGCTTTATTAATATTTCCTTCACTGCAAATATAGAAGAGAACATAATTTGATATGTTTCACAAAGGTCATACGTCAGTTGGACAATCTTGAAGCTTGTGAATATTAGCAAGTTTCCAAAATCCTTTCTTTTATAGCACCGGATTGAATATCTATCAAATAGCTGGTCCTACTCATTATTCTCCATCCCCACTGTTGAGTAAGATACTGCTGTAAAATTGATGTTGAGTCGCCAATTTCCACTTGTATGCTGTGAAAGATCCATAAAATAGTTCAACAAAGTTGTAGATATTGGTGCTCATGGCGTCCAGCACTCAACCTGTCAGCTTGTTCACCCTAACATATCGGGCTGAATCTGACCACATTTTGGCCAAGTGTCAGTTTCACTGAACTTCATGTTGGACTTCTCTCCCCAACGCCTAGCATGTTTTCTCACACAGTTGGCCCATCTGTTCAGATTATCCACTTACTATACCCCTATGGTGTCACTTGCATTCAGTGTTAGCTTGATTCTCCATTCACTGTACAAAGAGCAAAGAACAATACAGAACAGAAACAGGCCCTTTGGCTCACTGACCCTGCACTAATATATTTTGCCTTTCTAATCTAAAACCCTTTTGCCTCTATGTGTTCGATATCCCTCTATTCCTTGTCTACTCATGTATCTGTCCAGATGCCTCTTAAACATTGCTATTGTTCTTCCACCTCTTCTGGCAGCACATTCTGGGTGCTTATTGTCTCTCACATCTCCTTTAAACTTATCTCTTCTTACCTTAAACCTACATCCCCTAGTAATTGACATTTCTGCCCTCAAGGGAATTAGCCTGTCAGCCCCGAACAATGAATGACTACACCCCTGACTGATAACTGCACAGCTCCCCAACTGTGTTCCTGTGATTCCCTGGACTGGTTGCATTGGATCCACACTTGCCACTGAATGTGTCCCACTCCCCATATTGTTGAGGGATGGAATCCCTGACTGGCTTGCTTTGACCAGATGCCTAATTGTGCCTAAGTCCCTGCACTGATATTACAGACTGCTCTGAACTGATTGTGCTGGGACCCCTGACCGAACGGTGTCTCCCTGGACCTGACAGCAGACAACTCTCTTTAGACTAGGAGGCACGTCTGTTTGCTTGCAGCAGTGGATTTGCCATGGGTGCAAGTTGTCCACCCTTGATGGATGACTGCTGACCAGCGTGACAAACTGTCTGGCTTTGTGTCTCTGCTAAACTGCAAGGTAATGCAACAGAACTGTGACCCTTTATGTTCTGGCTGAGGGAGCTTAGTGCAAAAAAGCAAGGCAAGACACAGATGCTGTGAGCATCCAGGTAGGCACTAAGCAAGGATGCACTAAGAGAGAAAGAGAGCACCTTTGTGATGCAGCCTGGTCTGATCTATGAGCTGTGTTTGTGTCCCTGTATGGAAAATGTCCTTGCAGCAGCATTCCAATGGGAGGCACTGGTGCATTTGAAAGTGCAGCATTGAGTTAGATTGGAGATACACCTTGATGATGTGGAGAGGGTGGCACATGTCATATGCCAACATTCGCAGATGTGTGGTACATGCAACCACTACCCATGGGGCATGTTTTGAGACGTTGATGTTGCATGTCCAAGCTGGTGGTCTGGAGGAGCAAGCGACAAACTGGAGCTGTCAGGTTCCCACATTGACTTTGAGGTCAGGAATTCTTCATGTCTAGTTTCTATTTTCTGAATGGTAGAATACGAAGCTACATATTAATGAAGTAATATTAGATAATGATGAGGGCAATAATCTCATTAATAGGCCTTCCATTGCTCACTATTGGAAATCCTGTCTTGACACCCAGAGTTATTTGGAAAATGTGACACATTGTTCCCAGTGTTGAGAAAAGCTTCACTTGAATCTCCTCATTGTTTTTGGCATAACCCATGTTGTTTAGGGCCTGGGAAGATTTTGCTCTGTTATTTGTAAGCTGGATGAGTTAAATTCTCTGATTATTCACCAATAGGTAAGATTCCTTGTTGATGCATTTAGACCAATGACAGGGAAAACTTCTTTTTATTTCCTACTCAAGGATGTTATGACTCATTGCTGGAGCAGGTAAGACTTGAATCTAGGAGGCCTGGCTCAGAAGAACCCCTTTTACATCTTAAGGAAACGTCTTCCAGATGTGGGCTGTTTTTAAAAAAAATGATTAAATATTTCTTACTTAAATGAATTGTGTGATAACAGAATAAACAACAGCACAAAATACAACAAAGACTATGGTAGAAACGACCACATTCTAGATCAGAAAATAGATGAGCAAACCAGAGATGAAGCAAATATAAAGCTAAAACGTTGAGTTTTAATGGAAGTGGTTTAGATTTTTTACAGTATTTCAATAATTTTATAAATTACAAGGTAGATTTCTGATAGACTTTGTTTTTACTGTAGGGGTATAGATTTTATGTAAGAGCTTGGATTTTTAGCATGAGGAATCTTCGGACTTTGAACATTCTAGCATAGGTGTCAGACTGCAAGTCAGGGCTTTTCATTTGGAGCTTGGATTTTTAGTCATTGTTAGCCTAGTTGTGTGCCCCATGGATCCAGTGCCTCAATTAAAGGAAATTTGGACAGTGGACCTAGAGATAACTTGTTTTAAACAGATTACACAGCAATCTTGGCCCCTTCAGTGCATTGACAAAATAGACAAAGTGATAGTGGCTTGACTAGAATCTAGAAAGAAGTCTGTTGCATACCATTTTGAGAAGCTAGGATGTTTTGTTTGAATGTTAAGGCTAACTTCATAGAGGCTCTTAACTTAGCATTAATGAAATTAACAGTGATAGATCTTAACAATTGTTGGAGGAGGTACTGATATAAAATAAGTACAAAAACACAAGTAAGGGAATTAGAGAAATGTAGTTTTTTGTATGGATAGTATAAACCATTGTTGAAATGTTTTATACTTAAAAAGGAAATTATATGTTTAAAAAAGGAGAACATAAATGGGAGTAAGGAGAAGTGTGGAATGGGACTAAGCTATGATGTGGCAGAAAGGCCCCAGTAAAGATATGAGATACCGCAACTCATCCCTCACACCCCGTCCACGCAATAATAACCAAAAAAGAATCCCCCTCGTCCTCACGTACCACCCCACCAACCTCTGGATCCAACGCATCATCCTCTGACACTTCCGCCATCTGCAATCCGACCCCACCACCAAAGACATCTTTCCCTCCCCACCCTTATCTGCTTTCCGGAGGGACAACTCTCTCCGTGACTCCCTTGTCCGCTCCACACTCCCCTCCAGCTCCACCACACCTGGCACTTTTCCCTGCAACCGCAGGAAGTGCTACACCTGCCCCCATACCTCCTCCCTCACCCCCATCCCAGGCCCCAAGAAGACTTTCCACATCAAGCAGATGTTCACCTGCACATCTGCCAATGTGGTATACTGCATCCGCTGTACCCGGTGTGGCTTCCTCTACATCGGGGAAACCAAGCGGAGACTCGGGGACCGCTTTGCAGAACACCTACGCTCGGTTCGCAACAAACAACTGCACCTCCCAGTCGCGAACCATTTCAACTCCCCCTCCCATTCCTCAGACGACATGTCCATCCTGGGCCTCCTGCAGTGCCACAACGATGCCACCCGAAGGTTGCAGGAACAGCAACTCATATTCCGCTTGGGAACCCTGCAGCCCAATGGTATCAATGTGGATTTCACAAGTTTCAAAATCTCCCCTCCCCCCACCGCATCCCAAAACCAGTCCAGCTCGTCCCTGCCTCCCTAACCTGTTCTTCCTCCCACCTATCCCCTCCTCCCACCTCAAGCCGCACCTCCATCTCCTACCGACCAACCTCATCCCGCCCCCTTGACCTGTCCGTCCTCCCTGGACTGACCTATCCCCTTCCTAACTCCCTACCTACACTCACCTTTCCTGGCCCCATCCCCGCCTCTTCGACCTGTTTGTTTCCTCTCCACCTATCCTCTCCTCTATCCCTCTTCTATCCGCCTCCCACTCTCTCCCTATTTATTTCAAAACCCCCTTCCCCTCCCCCTTTTCTGATGAAGGGTCTAGGCCCGAAACGTCAGCCTCTCTGCTCCTATGATGCTGCTTGGCCTGCTGTGTTCATCCAGCCCTGCACCTTGTTGTCTCGGATTCTCCAGCATCTGCAGTTCCTACTATCTCTGCTATTATAACTGTTGAGCTTCTGCAGCACTTTGCTGTTATTTCAG